TGTTTTACAAAAAAAATTACACTGAATCAAAGGATAAAAATAAAAAACAAAGACACATTGAAATCATTCAGTTTCTCAGTCTTCTTAACGCCTCCTCCACTATGCCTCTAACGTACAAGGCTCGCCACGTTGATGAAGTTGAGCGCGAGCTGCCCCCATCCCCGTATGCCATAACAGCCCACTTGCACGGTATGGGAAAGAGGCAGAGTGAAGGAAGAGGTGTTAAACACAAGGAAGAGAGGAGCAGAAAAGGAAAACCGATAGGCAGAGGGAGAAAAAAAAGGGGACCCAAACATCTTCTTTCTTTCACTGCATTCTTCTTTCTTTCACAGTTTTGCAGTTTTGGTGAAGAGTCTACCATGTTTGCTTTTCAGCACACCTGCACTTCCTTCTTCATTTTTCATCTTCATTTTCACCCTTCGGACTTTTCTTTTGAGGGTGTTAGGGTGCAGGGTGCAAACAAAGTAAGATGACACAAACTTATGTTCTTCCTTTACTGCATTCTTCACAGTTTTGCAGTTTTAGTGAAGGGTTCCCCACCTTTGCACATTCTTGTACACTCTTTTCAGAGCACCTGCACATTTTTGTCAGGGTGCAAGGTACGTCTAAGTAAGACCCTCACGACAGATAGGACAACTGTCATAAGGATGCGGGCGATGGTAGCAGCCCTCCCCCTGATCTACAGGACGAAAACCATTCAGGTAAGCAACTTTGTCACAGCAGGAGCCAGGGCAGCTAGCATTAACCATACCTCTAAAGCATGCACGACAGGCCCGGCCGGGCAAGTGGGCCTGGGCCACTCTGGTGGCCTAGTTTAGAAGTTAATTATCGAACATTCATGGCTGTTTTGTTACATGAACCTCAACAAACTCAATTTCCATACCATACCATATAGATTTAGATGTTTTGAATTAAAGGCAACCAACCCTGGGCTTTTTTATTTTATTTTGAAAACAGTCCGAGCTGATGCTAGGGATTCTGATAGGAGCACACACCACTAGCAACCCCCGAGTGGCTTCATCTATTGGTGGGGAGCAGCACCTGCTGGAAACCGGGTCCAGCATCCCTTTTGAACTTTGTAATTGTGGGATAAATCCCTGCCAGCATTGATTACCGTGGTCCGCACGGGATTGACTGAGCAGGGGCGGAGGTGGCCGGGATGGGGGCCAATGCCTTGGGCCCAGGGGCCACCAGGCTCCATGGCATTAGGGCCATCCCTTCCCCCCCTTGTGGAGAATAATGGATAATAGGACAAAACTGAGTGAGCTCTGCTGATGCCTGAGTAGTCTGTGTCTAGACCCCTTCTTGCAGGATTTCCACCACTGCCAGCGGGTGAGAAGGGAATGGGTCCCCGAAGTCCTGCGCCGGTCCGAGTGGGAACCCTGGATCAATTGCCATCCATTCTTGAAACTGAAGCCTGTAGTCCCGCTTCATCTCTCTGTGAGGATAGAAATTCAGAAATTCCTTCAACTACTGTCTTCCCCCGAACACAACGCACCCTCATTTTGGCTGTATCTGGCCGGAAATACAACCTGTATTCATTCATTTTAAGGGCGCGTTATGTTCGGGGGAAGACCGTAGTGCCATCTGTATCTGAACTTTGTATTCAACATTTCATGGGTGTACCAAACTAACCTAGGCCAGTTCGCGGTTCATTAGGTCCTTCACTTTTCTTTTTTCTTGTTTGTTTGAGAGAGTGCTTGTTGATGACAGTTAGGGGTAGTCATTGGCCTAGTTCAGTTGGTAAGGCACACAAGTGGAAGTCAGGAGGTCATGGGTTCAATCCCCAGTGGCCTCATGTACCTTCCTGGGCATACTCAATGTCCACCATCGAGAGGTAAGCCGTTGGGCCCCCCAATTGGCTGATGTTCGTGGGGGACGCGACTGAAGTGGGAGGCACAGAGTTTAGAGGCCATATGGCATACCGTCTGACCCCTGGCCGGTATCGCCCAACTGCTGTAGCAGGTATCCCCCACCCATCGCTAGTGGGTGCTGCCCCCACATCCTCCCTTGTTGGAGGCATGAACATGGATGCGGCTGCTACGGGGTTCCGCCTAATACTATAATGATAATAAAACGGCCTGTCCAGTTTCCACAGATACTTGAATTGATTGGAGTTAAAAGAATTGGCCTTAAAAAAAAAAAGACAGAGGAATGACCAGCCAAGCAATGTTCGCAGGGGTCCCCTGTATAAGCCTTAGGACTAGTGGTAGGTAGGTAGTGAGGGTGAAAATTTGAAAGAATTTGAAAGAATTTGAAAGAATTTGAAAGATGATCAAAGATTTGAGAGAAGAATATAGCATAGTCTGAA